GATCGACGGGAAGCGACGGGACGGTCTGACGGCGTCCAATTTGAACACCAGGAACGGGAACTCAACCGTACTACCGTACAGATCGGGAAGCGACGGGAAGAGTTGGATCGATCCAACTTTTCATACCGTAGACGGGCGTAGACGGGGACGCAAGCGTACAAAACGGCTGTAATTCGAGTGTGAACAGGAGACGGCGTCGTGCGCCAACTACTCCCGATTCGTACTTGGATATTTTTAGCATTTTGAACAGTGCGCTTCCCATGATAACTCACAGAATGGCTAACACGACTTGAGTTGAATTTTAGCAACATAAGATCTCATGTCACCTATTGTATTTAGGGATAGTTCAGAAGCGTGACAGACGAACTATTCTATCATTTCCTTGGGCTATTATTTGAATGCCACAACTTTCAGGGGTAATTTTTCAATCTTCATAAAAAACTGGTATTATGAACTTGATTCCGCTTCTTTCAAGGACAAATAATCGAAAAGAAGTCCCGAAAAACGAGAAAATAGGTCCGAAAGTCACCCCGTCACGGACCGTGCCTTATGACTCGCGCCGTTCGACGTTAAACGTCGCAACGACTGCTGCATGCCGTGTCGTACGAATCGTACAGGATTTTACAGCTCAACCCAGCCCTCCTGACAAGCCCTTACGTCCCGTACCGTCGGCGTTGCGTCGAATGTGAACTAGGCTTCACTCAAGAGCGATCGCCTTGGCTGTTTGCAACCCAAAATTCTGGACTGAGCAGAAATGTTCGGATTGTAAAGCTGGGTGGTGAAGTGAGGTGCCCTAAAGTCCGAAAATATCTGATTTGCGAAAATTTCTATCCAGTGGCGGGGCAAAATCTGGGAAAGAGCAGAAGTGTTTTGATTGGGGAGGTGGGCGGTTTAGTGAGGTGGTCTAATGTCAGAATAGTCCTGAATTTGCACTTATGAAGGTAAACTAAGGACCGAGCGCAAGGGGTCGGGCTGGTCGGAAAGCAGAGTTCCATTGTATATCTTCTTTAATTTTTTAAAGTCATCTAACCCTAGCCATATGACAGTGCATAGGCCATGAACCGTGAAATTCACTTAGTATGTACTTGTGTGAATTTTAACAATTTAAAAAAGCGAGAGCAATCACGAGTGTGTGTGCTAACAATTAACTTGCAAATGAAAAACAAGAGAAAGAAAGAAGGACAAAATGAGAACACAAAACAGCAGTACATTTTGCATACAAAACCAAAGGCCAAGCTTGACCACACCACACCCGACACATTACGTGAACACTTTCAACCATATTATGTTATCTTTCTGTACACATATAATTATTAGGCTTGTACAAAGGCTGATATATGGCTTTCGAAACTTTTAACTGTAGTCCACAACACTGACGACCACGGCACAATACATTGAAGCAAGAGTCGGAATACGAATCGCAACGATCAGGACTAGCTAGCAGATGATTGTACACTGAAGATTTGTTCTGCTAAACCTAAGAACAACACCAACACTCTCACAACTGCAATTTTTCAATTTTTAGGATTTCGAACAATATGCTTCCCATGATAGCTTACAGAATCATCCACATGACCGAGTTGGATTGTACCAAGCTACTTGGATAATCATTTGCTGTGATTGTGGATTGTCCTGGGGTTGGTCAGATGAACTGTTTTATCCTTTACTGTTGTTCCATTTAGAATAGTGTTAGGTACATCCTCCCGTATGTTCTACATATTGCCGCAATCACTCGATCTCGCGCTCTCTCTTTCGTAATGCAGTTGCTTCGTTCGTCTTTGTCACCGTCTCTTCATCTATAATAAATGTCTTCCCAACTACCCGTTCCCGTTGTTCGTTGTTCGTTGTGTCTGCGAGTATGACTCCTCTTCCTTATCAACAATAGCAAAACTATGGCTGATTTTTTGGTCTTCATACCAGACTGGAGCGTGATACCACTTAAATTGAGAAGTACTAGTAGAAAGTTCAGAAAAGTAAAGCCACATGGACTGTACTTTATGACTCGTGTCCATCGATGTTAACAGGCACAATAACTGCTGCATGCTGGGTGTACTGAGCTAGGTGAGAGTTGCTCTGTCTCATTCACAGCTCAGATCTTTGTGCAAGTCATTAATTTTTGTTCCTTGTTTCAGTGCATACTTTAGGCAGATATTTGACTTTGTCCAATAGCCAATGAACGGAGGGTCCCTTTGCGAAAATATCAATGAGGGTCATGTAGGCCAAAGAGTGAAAAAGAGATCCAAATTGAATGAAATTGGAAATTTTGCAGGTGATAGTTGGTCATTACAGAAATTCACTCATACACGTGATGATGAGCTAAATATCCGGATGTTGAATGTCACTAGAGCTATCAGCATTCTTCTGACTGTTTCTGACAATACAATGTCAATATGTGTAGAAACTAATATTATGATATGTACTTCAGTATTTGTTGTGGTGCCATTTATCATGAGTGTGTCATGCCTCTTACCTCAATGCAGCGTCATAAGTAGTCTGCTTCCATTGAAGGGCAGGCGGAACTGGTCTGTACGATCCAGCCATGGCCGGACCAACTTTTTGGCCCAGATATTTTTTCTTGGAAACATCACATCGAAAATGGAAAAAAACTGTCGATCAACTAATAGCTGATCCCGAGCACTAAAGCGTTAGTCAGAGAGTGTTTGGAAGTCTTTCAGCCATTCAGCAGTGGTAGGAAATGTTTTGAGGAGTGTGTAGGAAGTCGAGCTAAGATGTTACGACAATGAGTCAGCGGTACATTTGTGAAGAAACTGCATTCTCCCAATGTCGGAGCTCGCGCTTCCTGTCGACTGACCTGACACTTAACCGACTCACGACTGCGTCTGGAGCACTCGAAAAGCCCGTCGTACCCGGGAAGTTACTGTTTTTGCTTGTTCTGCCAAAATGTCCCTGTCAGCAGTGGCTGTCTACCCAAACTCGGCGTTTGAACAGTCGTGCATACATGCTCGTCTGACTGTTCAAGATGTGACTTCTGCAGGCTTCAATTGCATTTAAATAACTGGGTCAATGAACCATTTCGACTGTAAAACCGTTGTTTTTCTACTCCGTGGTTTCGATACAACCTCACAGCCACACTCATACCGGGTAAGTGCCAGGTTTTGGCCGTTGTTCCAGTGGTGTATGATTGACTAACTATATGACCCATAAAAGATTGGTTGTGAGCAACACTGGCTCACAACTAATATATTACTAGTCTTATGAAGCTGCGTGATGCGTCCTACAAGATTTTATATGACCCATGATCACTTTAGGCATGGCCAGACCAATCCTCATTTGCTTCCACTCGGCCTACATTGTTCTTGTTCTGAGTTCTGTTCTCATTTTAGTGCTAGTCGTTTCACTTTCCATCATTCTTTGAAATAGTTTATTTGAATTTTATTTGTTTCCCTGCCACGATCGCTTGTTGTGTTATTAATTTTCGTGCTTTCCGTGTTATCCATTTTACCAGCGCCTGCAAGGCTGCATGCGGAATTCGAGCGTGACTGATGATGTCATTGCTTATGTCTTTGTTGTGGATAGTCAGGTAGCTGCGTTGACATGTTTATTTTCCCACCATTATTACACTCTGTGGACGACCACATACATCCACTCGCTTGCACACAACAGCAACAAGAGACTCCTTCCTGCAGTTAAGTTTTATTCCTTCTGACAATTGCTTCAATCATTAAGGCCTCGTCAGAGAAGTTTGAGTTGTTGAATGACTGGAAAAGAAATAGTCGCCTAGTTTATACTGTGAAGAAGATGTTGGTGCGACTTAAGTGATACTTGGGTAAACGTGTGTTGCTCCTTACATGGGAGCTCGCAATTTCCCTGCCAACTTGAATTCTCACTTGCCTAACTCACTACTGCCATCTAGAGTGCAGGAGATATCCATTGAACCTTCCACTCGTTAAAATATGTTATATTGGCACTTGAAATGAGAGATAGTGCGCTGATGAGCGTGCACTTGATACTCGAAGTGTGAATGCAAGGTGTTAAAATGTTAACCGGTTTCTGAAATCATGGGACACTCTGCAAAGAGGTGATAGTTACTGCCGGATACGGCAACACAGCACGGATACTGCAACACAGCACGGATACTGCAACACAGCACGGATACTGCAACACAGCACGGATACAGCAGTCATGCTAGTACTTGTAGTTCACCTGGCATCAACCCCATGCTCTCCCTATCTACACTGCACCATCGGCTCTCTCCTCTAGCGCATGTCTCATTTAGCTCACGTTCATACCGTCATGGAACAGTCAGTATAAACTAGGTGATTGTTTCTTTTCAAGTCATTCAACACCTCAACCTTCTCTGATGAAGTCTTAGTGACCAAATCATCTGCCAGAAGGAATAAAACTTCAATGCTTGAAGGAACCTCTTGTGCCCTGTATTGGGCAAGTGAGTAGATGTGTGTCATCGGCTACAGAGCACAATGATGATGGTGAATATCAATGCAGACACTTTCAAAGGCCGAATGCTGTTTACGCTGTGGTTAGTCACGTAGCTGATCTTGTTTTGTTTCTTTGTTGGAGTTGTTGTTTTCTTCACTTCATGTTCAGATCTATTTCATGCACTTCGTGGTAGCTGTCGTTGCATTAGCTGCTTCAGCCACGACAATATATTACTGGTTGTTCTGCCGCCCTTTTGCATGCCTTGTTCCACGTGTCTTTTCCTGGACTAAGTGCTGGTGATTTTGTTCTTCCTCTTGTTCTTCTCTTTCTCTCTTCACTGCTAACTTGCATTATCTGTCCTACATATTTTTCTCCTAGAGGTTTTTGTGTTGTGCTGGTGTTGTGTTGGGAAAAGGAGGAGTTTTAGAAAAATATATGGCACCTTTCGCACCACACGTACAGATACGAAACAAATGCTGTACCTATTTACTTGCTCTGCTGTGAGAACAGAGAAAAAGTCCATGTTGGGGCTAATCATAGCAACCATCACATTAGAATTCTGAGAAATCTCAGCAATAAACACCACACAAGCACTAACTTACTCTCACACAACCGACATTGTAATCGGTTACAGCATAACAAATACCATGCTGGGGCAGAGACAGTGCTGCAACACCATACGAGCTACCGATAGCACCGTTACCAATCGTTTTCACGTAAGACCCATCCTGATGTAGGACCTGGAAGAGAAACACATTTGATTTCCACAACAACAAGGAATACAGTCAACAAAGAGGTGAACAGAGTGTTGCAGCAGGCTTGATAGGCAATTGGACAGGGAGGATGAGAGTACAGAGGGGTACAACACAGGAAGCGAAGATGCAGGCAGTGAGTTGAGATAGGAGAGTTTCAGGGAGTGGATAAGAGCCTTGTTACAGGCGTTATTTCTCACTTGAGAAATTCAAAATATTAGTCCTCTGGCCTAATTTGTGTTATTTAGAACAATGTTTTCTTCCTGATGAGAGCTGTACAATAACTAGGTTTTTTGAATTTCCATCATTGTCCATCACCAACCGCTATACTATTATCCCCTTTTCTTCTTTGTCCATCACATAATTAGTGAAATTTTTCATGATTTGTTTGTTCTTCCAAGAAAAAAAGCTTTCATACCAGGCAATTCGGCGCTTTTTATTATGATGGTGGTTCTACTAGAGAGGTTTTGCATACCGAATTTCGGAATGTTTTTCGACTGTGTTTTTCCCAAAAAAATTGCGTGCCGAAAAACGGCATTTTCACTGTTTTGCATTCCGAAAATCTGATTCGATTTCGTTTCCAAGGGTTGCAATGCAAAACAAAATGGAGGGAGTCGAAGGCGCCAAAACCAAAACGTTTTACAACCGAATCTTGCATACTCGGTTTTGAGGCGTGCTGGTCCAACAGAAGCAGCGTGTGTTCATGGTGTTCTCTGACAGACTTCCTGGTGATACCAGCAAATTTTGGGTCAGACAAGGCTAGAACTTATGCAGTCTCCTCGGATCCCACAGAGCCGCGAACAAAGGGGTTGAGCACAAAATACATGTAGGGGTTGCCTGAGCAGGATCAAATCCATGTGCAGGTCAAACTGAATCTGGGCGCGGTTCGAAGACGAGGACGGACTGATGGTGGACCGAGTGATCCAACGGCTGAAGACGAGATTGTCGAACTACTGTCTTGTACTGTCAGTAGGCTCCATGGCAAAGGAAGATAGAGTGTGATGGAGTGTGAGAAGATCTAGTCAACATGGCGAGATCAGCGAGAGCAGCAAAAACCAAAACTACACATGTGGAAAATTTTCAAATAATTATAATCAGCGAGAGCAGCAGAAAACAAAAATACACACATGAAAAATATTCAAATACGTGTATGCGGTCCCAAACAGGAAAGAGCCGAAAATCCATTTTCGAAAAACTATGCATTTTCGCCACCACACTTCCGAAAGTTCAACTACATTTTCGACTCCTGCCGCCAAATTCCGAAAATAATTCCGAAATTCGGAATGCAAAACCTCTCCATTAACAATTGAGCCATGATCTCAGTAAATGGACCTTAGGGGTGAAATTTTTGAAATTGCCTTTTTATTTGGACAATGTACTTAAAGTCTTCAGTATGTAGACTTTCATGTGACAAACTATCAAATCAATATTAGCCTTGCAAGTACCTTGAATTCTCCATATTGTAGAATGCACTATAGTTGTCAAATTCGGCTATGTACATGTATGCAGTATCATAATTGTTGCCGGGTTCGCGAATCCCGCAGTCACTGAGGCAGCCAGTTCATCCAGTCCGTACTTATTGAAGAGTGGGCGTGACTTTGGCGAGAGCAGCGCTTCAGCTGGCGGTGTGACATGACAAGATTTTCAAGAGGTCCTTGTCAAGTGCAGCAAAGTGATTGTCACCAGCGCAGCTGCATCCGATTGACATCCAGTCCACTATCTCTGCGGTGATTAGGGTTTCCTCGACACGCGGACCTTCCTGCTCCAAGTCATTGTAACTCTCATCTTCGTCATTGTCAGACGGACGGAGCTGGCGCTTCTCTACCGCAGATGCGATCGGGTTGTTGTCTCCGTCATCGCAATCATCGCGTTCACTGTCATCGTACCCGGGGAGACATCGCAGTAGAACATCTCGTCGCGCTCATCTAGGAGAGACTCATCCTCATGCGGCACACCGACAAACTCAATCCTACATCGTTACTCGCCATTCCGACTACCTACAATCGATCGATTGATCGATCAAACATTCAAACAAAAAAATTCAAGATCGACTTCGTCTTTGACTTCATTGCCTTCACGATCGCAGTCGAGTTTTCTTTGAGTAACTTTAACGTCACATTTTGATGAAAGTTGAAATCAGGTCCTCAGGTACATTAGAGATAGCCGAGGGACTAGATGCAATGGAAAGCCACAGAGTGAAGTTGTTGCATACCTGTGTATTCTCATAACACGGCTTAAGCATAGGCTGGCTACACCAGTGTGCTGGTTTCGATTAACTGGTGCAGCAATTGGCATTGCAAATAGGCAATTGCTCATGAGTGAGCCGTAACATTGCCCTGGACCAGGTGAAAAGGTTCCCGATCCACGTTGCAAACAGCCAACCAGGGTGAAGCAATTTGCATTGCAAACAACCAAATCAATCGCTCATGCTTGTGCGGCAATGAAACCTGCAACCGGATGCCATGACTATACTATTTACGTCACAAAACAACTGACCAATAGTGTGCAATTTAAGCACAGATAGTAGCAGCATAGGCACAAGTTAATGGAAGCTCTTCTCACTTGAAGTATAGTGTGAATGGGAGGGTGGTGGCACATAGAGTCCCATGCATGGCTGCTCAGGGAGACTAAAAAGGAAAGTGTGAGCCAAAGTCAACGCAGCAAGAGCTAAAGTAGACTCGTACGCCCAAGAACGCGGTTTCAATGGGCCAGCCTAGCAAAGTTTTTATTTTTCAGCGCCCCAGGCTACGTTCTTATTTCGCGTTCTTACGCGTCCAACATGACCTGTGACGCTCAAGTACAATGCACTTTGCGCTACATGTACCGGTTGTACACTTTAACTTTACATGCACGTGTAGTATGTAGCGCTGCACTGGATGATGTTTTCGCGAGGACCCGACAAGAGTTTGTGGTTGCGGACTTGTTTTTCGTACTCGGACAAGACGTTCTTGGGTGCTACGTTCTTGGGCGTACGAGTCTACTGTAACTAAGGTGGTTTGGGAGCACATCTGCAGCCGTTGAATGCACACGTAAAGCAAACTCAGTTGAAGCGCGCGATAGAGAGCAGTGCATCATTCTTATCACTAACTGTTGTTAGCCTCAAGGCTAACCCATCATCTCTATTTTTGGATTGCTAGGCAATTTTTCATTGTTGGAGTGCTGTTTCATGTGTTGCTATGAGCAGTGGACACTTGTAGTACAGCAGTTCATCAATGTATGATTAATGGTACGTCACGAATAACAGACTTGGATGAGCAGCTTTTCATGATCCCTTCATGTAATAGTGAACGTTTCCAAAAGTTGCCACTATGCGCAGTGGATCTCGAGTCAAGTCCGTATGTCATAGGATGAGAGGTCTTGCAGGCAATTATACTGACTGATGTACGCATGGCAGCACTTGTGAGCATAGAGTGTGCCTGCCCTTGTGTGTCTGCTTCCTCCATGCAGACACATATTCATAGATCTCATTGCATAAATTGGGTACAGTCAGATCTCACTTATGCAGTACTCTTGTATCCGGATCTTTCGCCATCCGGAAGACAATGGTTGGTTGCCGATTTATAGCACATGCCATGCATACATACAGTATGCGTGTTTGATTCCCTCGCCTATCCGGATATTTTTTGTGGAAAACAGATGTGTGCTGTTATGCGAGGTCTGACTGTATATCAATATCAAGGCTCAGACAAACAGGACTGTGTGTGTAATGATCGTGATAACACTAGAGACACCAGAGACAGTGAGCAATACGTGAGTATGAACAGTCGCTCTGTGGATCGGCGAATGTACAGTTTAACTACCACACTTAATTTTTTGCAATTTCTCTGCAGCATCAGTGGTCATGAAGATGAACTGCCAAAGAATTCGAATACTGTGAGAGTTGAATTTCTAATGGGCCACAAAGTCTTGCGTTTTCATGAGAAAGAATCCATCGTTAAACTCAATAAACGTTATACTAGTACGCATGTTATTCCTTCTCTCCTCTGTACTAGAGATGTAGAAGACAGGTGTGTGATGGCAGGATTGCTAAACTTTGCGCCTACTAAGTGGGAATGTTTTGCAAATTGCTAAACTTTAGACTCGTCACACTTTCAACTCTTACAGTAAACCATCAAGTTGAATCAGAATCATGCAGCGCATAGAGAAGAAAACATTAAACTAAAGAAGATGTCCAATTCCCGTCAACATACAATAGGACGTGAATAGAACCACACATCATTTCTGAAGCATATGCGAAGACAAAAGACCCAGAAAAGATTCATGTATCATCTTGAAGTCTGGCCACTTCTCTAGTTGGCCAGCACACATTCATTGTGCTTTTCCATAGACTTCTCCACAGAGTGCGATGGCGCCCAAGGGCTCACAGCTGTAGGAGATCATTATTGCTGGCAAGTGAGTTGCACACTCTCATTAACATGGTGGAGCACAACCAGTAAGTTGCTTTGCAGTCTACTCCTCTAATACGACTTTTAGCAGTAACACAAGTCAGGATCGCTTATTACTGTCACGTTTTATTATACATGGTTCGTGTCTTGTAGAGTCTGTTGTTTGATGTCATACATTGTGTAGTGTACGTGTGCGTTTGGTGTGATGCGTGACACCTATGGTATGTGGTGCACGCAAGAGTCCGGGTCATCAAGGCGTGATTTGTAGGTGGTGCGGTTGCCTTGGTCTTTTGGCGTGTGTTCTGTACAATCATATTGGTCTCAGATTGTTGGTCATGATTCACCCCCACTGTCATCTGTTCTTTGTTCTTCCTTTCTCAGCTCTTTGGTGTCCTCCTTTGTTTAACTTTTCCTCTCCTTCTGCGCCCTCCTCGCTTATTAGTTGTACTTTGAAGTTCGAATTTATATAACCTATCAAATTGTTTATGTTGTCGTGTGGCGGAAGCCATTGGAGAAGTTGATGTGCTAAATGTTAAAAAAATGTTGTAAAAAATGGCCATTTATGCTAATGATGTATCCCTAGGCAGGTGAAGAGAGTGCTCA